AAAGAAAGATAAAGTATGTAAAAATAGTTTAGAAAGATTGCTGTCAGAATTGGCTTACAAATCGAGGCTTAGCCAGTAAACGAAGGGAATTGGAAATGCACTGGTTAGGATGAGTGAAGAATTGCCGTAAGTCACGTGCACGACCTCAGTCTTGTTCTCCTTGGAAAGTTAGGATGATGTAGAATCCATTACTTCTCGTCACTGTCACTTGCTGAATTTGGCCTGTCAAATTGTTCGCTGACATTCTCTTCCCACACATTAGCTGACCGCCCTAGTCACACTGCCAGGGCAGGAGAGGTGGCAGGGTAATTAATGCCCCTCACCTCATCACCTCACAATCCGCTGCCCCAAAGTCTGGCCCTGCTGCCTCCTGGTTCCCCAGCTGCCCAATCCCTGGGTGGCGCCCCCCGTCCCAGCTCCCCGTCTGTGAGCAGCTTGAATGAGGTCATACAGCCTGTGTGTGATTTTCTCTGTACCTCCAGCACCTGCCACGGGATGCTGGCCGTATAGAGCACTCAGGAAATGTTGGTTGGCTTTGCCTAGGGCGCTTTTCATTCCTTCCTTTCTTTGGATGAGTCTTTGAACTTCTCTTTTTCCTTTTGGCCCCTGATGGAAGTAGCTGTCCTGATAGACAAGCATGGGAAGGCATCCGTTTACCCCTGGTCCTCACTCCCCCCCTCCTCCCACACTGTTGTGATCAGAGCTGCTGCCCTGGGTGACATGCCAGGTGACTGGATGGTGGGCCTTCCCAAGCTTCTGTCCTGAGATTCTGCCCCACCCCCTTACCCAGTGGGCTCCAAAGCACCTTCTCAATCCCTTTGCACACAGACGGCTTACCAGATCCCTCTGGCTCTCTCCAAGTCTCTCTTAGGCTCTCTGTTCTCTGGGTGCATGTTTCCGCGTAGCCGCTCCCTGGCTCTGCTTTTCCTCTCCATCTCCCTCCCTTCTTAGCTCACTTCCTCTGTCTTTCCTGATGCACACACCCGTGCTTCCTCCTGCTTTACTCCTTCAGTTCCAGGGTAGTTCATTTCCTTTGTGCTTTTGGCCTCTGGGCTGGCTCCCTGCCTGGATCTTAGCCCCATCACCACTGCTCAGCATCAACTTGGCATTTTTTCCTCCCCCTTCCTCGTGGGGTTCCAGTTCATCTGGTGCCTCTGAAGATAGCCTGCAGGGGGGAAGTAACCCCTTTTCCTTGTGTTTTGGGGACTCAGCACTGCAGCACCCGGACTGCACACACTGAGCGGTTTTTTCTGCACCACCTTCTCATTCATTACCTTCCCTTTCCCCAACCTCTCATTTTTCACCTTTTCCTCCATTTCCTCCTGGATAGACTCTTCCTTTCCCGTGCAGAAGCCTGTTTCCTCCTAGGACTGCTGGTTCAAGCCTTCATTTCCTCTCATGCCAGGATTAGCTTTCTTAGAGTAACACCTGGTCCTGTCTGAGATTCTTATGATCAACTCCCCCACAGCCGTCTCCCATCCCCAAAAGATTTGCCAGACTGGAAGGAAGCACTTTTCCCCTGAGCACACTTTTGGTATTTGGTTAGACTTTGATTCTGGTTACTTAAATCTTCCAGCCATTGCTCCAAATATTCTGTTGTGCTCCTGGGTTCTACACAGACACCGTTGTGGAAGGGTATGGCTAAATCATACGCATATAATCCTGTAACTTCTGGAGGTTATGAACATTGAAAATCGTGTCACTGCTTGGACTAGATGCTCGCCAAGTCTCCTTTCCATCTGAAGAGTTGGGCTTTGTGACACCAGGGAACAACATGCTGTGTTGCCTAGACCCCTCCTGGGACTGAGTGCTGTGGCCTGGAGTTCAGTTTAGACGTCTGTCTTTCGGCCCCATGCAAGGTCTCAGCCCCTTAACCTCAAAAGTACTCTTCATAAGAATCGCTGGCCAAATTCCCAGGGCCTAGACCCAGTCTGCTATCCTCCTAACAGTGCAGCCAACACTGAATGATTTAAGGAATCTCATTTTTCGACATTCCACCGTGTCTGAAGTTTCCTAGCTTTGAAAATGATAAATGCATCATTCTGACTTGCATCACTCTGGTTAATTGTATTGGCTGTGTTGTATTAGCAAAACTTTTACTTCAGAACTTGGAATTTGCTCAGTGATGTCAAAAATTGCAGGTCCTAATGAGGTTCAGGAACACGGGGGCATACAGTGCCTGGTTGTACTGCCTGGTGTCCTTTGCAGATTTTAGGCTCAACATTCCTTCAACAGTCACGGCTTTCAGTTCTGCTCTCTCTGTCTCTGTCTCTAAGTCTCTCCTTTATTGTCTTTCATCTTCATTTCTTGGTTTTCAAATTAAATTTTCTCTGGCTTGTAAAAACTTCTGTCTGTACTACATGTCTATTGAAGATTTAGAAGACACTAAATCAATAATCCTACTGTCCAGATATGATAGCTATTAAGATTTTTTTTTTTTTTTGGAGAGCTTTTTGCTATAGGGTGCATGCACTCACCAGAAAGAGACAGAAAGCAAGAAATCACCCCCCGGGGGGGAATGGCCACGCCGCAATCCCTTCTCTATTCTCCTCTTGGGATCTTGTGCACACACACACATGCGCCCTGCATGAGTTTAAGCCACCAGGTCCGGGATTCAAACCGCGGTCGACTACATGGGAGTCCATAGCCATTATGCCAACTGCTGATCCCTGCTATTAAGATTTTTTCTTTCTTCCTTTTCCAAAAACGTCTGTGCGCATGTATGCAGACCTTGTTCTATACCATTGGATTTGCGTAGAAAGTTGTTTTTAATTTGCTGGAGGATCCTTGCACTTGTCAGAGAGACAGAAAGGCAGAGGGAAAGCGAGAAAGCACTCCCCCATGGCGTATGATCCTACTCCAGTCCACTCTCCTCCATCTCTCCAGCCTGTTGGGATTTTGGACACATATGCACATGTGCCTGGCATGTTTTTCAAGCTTCCAGGTCCAGAATGGCCTTGTGGGATCCAGTTCCCTTAATCATTAGGCACAGGCTGACTCCATGGAGGAAGTTTTAGAACCTGCTGTTTTCACTTGATACTGTAGTTTGAATGTTTCTTCATATTAGTGAATAGTGTTTGAAGATACAATTAATTTTTGATAGCTTCATGGTATTTCCTATTAAGTGGCTCTGTAACAGTTTACATAGATGTTTTCGACTTTCATATGTACTGCATCAAATAAAGGCAGGTCGCTGCTTTGCTCATATTTTCTTAGGTGTTATAGTAATGTTATCACTGTTAGCTACTCTAAAACCATGAATATGATTTAACTTTCACTTGCAGCATTTTTGCCACTCTTGGCTTTAGGGAATAGTTAAGAAATCCAGTCATTTGAGAAAATTACTTTCCAGATTCTCATAGATATTCAACTTAAAAAAAAAATAAGTTTTCTTTCTTTCTGTCTGTCTGTCTGTCTTTCTTTCTTTCTTTTAATTTAACCAGAGAGGTACAGAGTGAGAGTGAGAGAGAGGGAAAATGAGAAAGCAAGCTGCCAGGTCTGGGACTCAGACCATGGTCAGCCATGTAGGAGTCCAGCTCCCTTAACCACCATGCCACCTGCCGTCCCCTCATAGATATTCAACTTTAAAACGTGTCTTTTTCAAGAATAACACCAGTCAAATTACTTTTTTAAAGACTGCAAGTTAAATAAAGTCTAATATAGGCCCTCTTTTAATATAAAAATAGCCAGCTTGTTGAGGTCAAGATAGCCTGTTTTCTATCTTTTAGTATTTTCTGTTTTTATTAAGGTACTTCAGGGTGTCAGTGATAGTAAGTTTAATATCTGTTTTTTCAGTTAGAAATTTTTTCCATGAGTGCTTTGTATTAAAACATTAATCTTGTCTATATTTTCCCCAAACTATTTTCATTTTCTTTTAATTGCCAGAGGGCATGTGTGTTCACAGAGAGAGGAGGAGAAAAATGCCCCCCAATGGGACATGGTCATGCTGCAATCCTTTTTCCTGTTTCTCCATCTTGTCAAGATTTGAGTCCTACACACATGCCCAGTGTGTTTTTCTTTTTTCTTTCTTTTTTTTGTAAGAGTTTTTTGTTTGTTTGTTTTGTTTTGTTTTGTTTTGCCATACGGCACAAATAGTCGTCAAAGAGAGATAGTGAGAGGGAAAGTAAGAAATCACCCCCGGGGGGTGGGGGCATGACCACATTGTAATACCTTTTCCTCTGTGGATTTTGGGCATGCACACATACGTGGTTGGTGTTATTTTCAAGCCTCCAAGTCCAGGACTCGAATTCTGGTCAGCCATATGGAGTCCAGAATCCTAACCACCATGTCACCTGCTGGCCCTGCCCAGTGTGTTTTTCAAACCACTGGGACTGGGATTCGAACTTTGGTCAGCCACGTGGGATCTGGCTCCTAATGCACAGCACTTTAACACTCTGCTTCAGGGCCAGTCCTTAACTAAATGTTTGATTTAGTTTTAATGAATAGAGAAAAGGTCTAGTAAATAAGAACTGTCTTGTTTCAGGCAGCTTTTACTTTTATTTATCACGTTTCTATTACAGCATTGATGTCATCCTCAATATCTTGGCAAATGACAAACTTGTTGAGCTAGTTTTAAAAATGGCTAATAACAAACTAGTTGAGCTGGTTTTAATAAATAGAAAAATGAAGATAATGAATGTGTTTCTGTTCTTTCCCTTGGAGAGATACAAAAAAGGCATCCTTTAAGCCACTGTGTACTTTTCAAAATCTCTAATTCTGAGGTTTGCAGCAGCATAAAAACAGTCCTGCCCAGCGTTACAGATCCTTTGTAATAATACTCAAATGGCTAGTTTGAGGGCCTGTGCCCAGGATGATCGTTAACTGTGGTCGATGAGATTTCCTCCCTCCCCTGATTTTTCAGAGGCTCTTTACCCTAAATGTGTGATTCTTCGTGGCTGTTTGAACCTAGTGTCATGCATTTTCAGTTCCCATTTTACTTGTCACACAATGACAAGAGAATGATTGAAAGATCAACATGATAAATATGTCTTCTCATTTAGGAAAAGTCCTGAAAATCTTAGTCATTCTGAACAACTCAAGGAGAAAGAGAAGCAAGGTTTTTTCAGGTCAATGAAAAAGAAAAAGAAGAAATCTCAAACAGTAAGTAGCTGGCCGATTTCTGTATGTCCCTGTATCACTCTGTGAATACTTTATGCTTTGTACATGACAATCAGAGGTAATTATTTCCTTATCGAGACTCGACTTGCATCCACTGTGTGTGTCTTTCTGAAATTCTGTACAACTATCCTCTCACCCAGTCTTCAAGAGTCAAACAGAGCATCTAGGAATAGAAGAAATTTAATTTGGATGAGCGAGAACACTTTCAATCTCTCTCAGTAAACTTCTTATCTATGTGGATTTTGTATACATTTAAAAACTATGAAGATGCAGGATTCATTTCTCTCTGGGAGTTTAAAGATATGTGAGAACTTAGGAGATGGTTTTGGTTTTCACTGAAATCTTGAAATCATAAATAACCATTACTCCTGTTCTCCCCTGGCTGCTTATAGAATTCCCAGGTTAACAAACACATTTTTGGGCTGTAGAGAACAGAGAAAGCGTGGTACCTGGCTTTTCAGGGCTGTTTGGAATAGGAAAGCATGCTTCCCTTGTGATCACACTGGGAGAAGGAATATGCCTCATCTCCCAGGAGCCGCCCTCTGCCTGCCCAATCAAAGGGCCGGCTCCAAGGCACCTTGCACGTTGCATGACCTGCCCAAGCAAGGATTCTGCTGGTTTAGGGACATGAGAAGAAGTGGGAAGACCAGGCCGCAGGACTGCAGCAGGAGCTGTTCTTCACCCATGTGAGGCCTGCTGCCTCCTCTGCTTTATGACACCTTTAAGACTAGACATGGTTGAGTTAGCTGCTTTCAGTGGGTTAGGGCCTAATTTTACTTCCTACATGATTTGCTCTCATTTATTTGAAGAGGAAAAATGTATAATGAAAATGGCCTGTTTGGATGGACTTCATGGTTTCATCTGTAAGATAAATAGATTAGACTCTGTTTCTAAGCCTCTTTCCTTTCTGAAAGTTTTAGAATTAAGACTTAAAGGTAAGTAAAGGTAAGATAGATGATGGTAGCAAATTAACCTGAACTAAAGATTTTTACCTCATGGACGTAATAGAAATATTAATAAAGAACTTCCTAGAGTATTTTTCTAGATCATTCTTTCACTTGTTTGTTCAATGTATATATTTCATTATAAAGTAGATATGAGTTCTTTACAGAAAAAAATGAGGAAAAAAGATCATTTTTAATCTCATCACCCTATCATAATTAGTATTCAGAGTCCAACATCCTTAGCTTTTATTTATTTTTTTTAGGTTTTTGCCATAGGGCATGTGTGCTCACCAGAGACAGACAGAAAGAGGGAAAGTGAGGGATCACACCCCCCACCCCCCGGGGAGATAGCCATGGCACGATCCCTTCTCCTCCATTTTCCTCTCAGGATTTTGGGCATGCATGCACATGGACCCAGTGTGACTTTCAAGCTGCCTGGTCCAGGACTCGAACCGTGGTTGGCCATGTGGGAATCCAGCGACTTAATCACTACACCACCTACTGGCCCCTGCCCTCAGCTTTTTAACCTATGTATATGTTTGTGGAAAGATGGGAATGGTGGTATTAAAATTTTATTAATCATTTTAATCATCCTAATACAGTTTTGTATTCTTGTTTTCTAAATAGTCTGTATCTATACACATTGTATGTTACTATACAGACTTAGTGATCTTCATTTTAATGGCTATATAATATTCCTCAAATGTTTGTTTAAAGGAAAAAAAGCTACCTATATCTAACTGAAGCTCACTTCGAGCAAAATGTCAAATCAAAATGCCACTTAGTCAACTATTACTACATTTGTTAAAACAACTTTTTATCATTGCTCATTGATTATATTTATCCATCGTGAACATTAAACTTAGCTACCTCCTCCTGACCACAGTGATTCTTACTCCAGGGTTTTTGTTTTTAATCACAGGTCTGTAGCCATCATGGGGTGATTAAGTGGTAGAAAGTAGTAAGGATTAAGGAATTGGAGTTGTTTTTGTATATAGATGTAGATGTTGATGTCTGTCTGTCTGTCTGCTTCAAACCAATGTTAACGCTAAAGCTGCTGGGCATGGGAGGCTGAGGCATCTTAGTGAGATGCTGTCTCTTAAAAACAAACAAACAAATTCCAAAGCCCCTGGCTTGTTGTGGCATGAGTAAAATACATCCATGTTGACTGACTTTAATATTCAGAATTTGCTTTAAATGTTAGCTATTTAAACAGTGTGGGTGAGAACAGATAGGAAAATTGCTATTCTCTTTTTTTTTTTTCTTTTTTTTTTTGGAGAGGTTTTTGCTATAGGGTGCGTGCGCTTGCCTCAAAGAGGGAGACAGAGAGAGAGACGGAAAGTGAGAAATCACTCTCCAGGGGGAATGGTCATGCCACAATCCCGTCTTCTCCATTCTTCTCTTGGGATCTTGGCTATGCACGCACACACGCCCGGTATGAGTTTAAGCCACCAGGTCTGGGATTCGAACCATGGTCGACTTCATCAGAGTCCAGCGACATAGCCATTACACCAGCTGCTGGTCCCCTGAAAATTGCTCTTCTCTAGCATTCTTGCCTCTTAAACCTACTTTTATTTTCTTTAGATTTTTGCCATACGATGTATGTGCTTACGGGAGAGACAGAGATGGGGTAAAGTGAGAAGTTACCCCCAAGGAGGGATGGCCACACCCAATCCTCTCTTCATTCTCTGCTTGGAGTTTTGGGCATGTGCACACACGTCCCTGGTGTGTCTTGCAAGCTGCCAGGTCTGGGTCTCGAACTGTGGTGTTGGCCATGTGATATCCAGTGCCTTAACTACAGCACCACCTGTTGGACCCTTAAACTTTCTATTAGATTTTCGAAACTTTTATTTTGATATGTAAAGTAACTATAAAATATCTCTCTGCAGGTCTTAATGCTTTAAGCCTCCCAAACCAAAGGTTGTGCCTCTATGTTTTTTAATTAAAAGAAGAAAAATAAGGACTTCGGGAGTTCCCGAGAGTATTTGGTACAACTTGTCAGACCTCAGGCTGCTAAGCCTGGCATTGGGTTAATAACTCTGCCTTCTTTCAATGAACACTTACTTTAACATAATTAAAGTCAATTTTTTTTCCACTTTCTAGATTTTGGTCAAAGGAAACTTAAGTAAAACAAGCATTGAAAGACTCACGGCATTGTGGCCTTTGCCTGAGATTAAAAAAATTGAAATCTGATGCCTCATACACATAGAGAAGAGTGCAGTTTTACAGTTGAGGTGGATCCCAAATCTAGTTTAACCCCTTTATTTACTTATTTATTTCACTAGGCTAGAACTGAGCCCAGGCAGGTCGTAACCCATCCAGAGTCTCTTAGTCACCTGGGAGAACTAGGACTGGGTTCCCCTGAATACCAAGCCCAGGTGCAGCCCATGGGCCAGTCTCTGTGGCGACCTCTTTAGTGATGCATGTTAAATTCTTCCCTGGGGTTCCTGTCAGTGGAACAAACACAGTTATGGAATATTTTACTGGATGTCTTCATACACACACACCCATAAAAGATGACCTGAATAGCTTCCTATGCATTCCAGTTCCCTGGCAATTCAGATATCCCAATGCAGGGGATGGTGGTGCCAAAAAATAATTCTGTGTTGTAAAGGTGCCTGCTTTGACTCAAGCAGATCTGGAAGCTGCCTTGGGAAAGTTCCATATCCAGAGTTACATAAGCTCTTGGAGCATATGGTGACTTTGCCAACTCGGTAATAGTCTCCTAGTTAGTATCTCAACTTGTAATGAGGCTTCAATGTAAAGATGGAACTTTCTGTTTCTTCGCTTTGAAAACCAGTATTCTGAGCCGCACCAGGTTACTTCCCGCTGGGTACGTGTTTCTAACAGTGTGGGACAAGGGTTCTCAGGCAATGTCAGTCCCCTGCGTCAGAGATACTCCTCTCCCAGGTGATGTTTTCCGGCTCAAGAACTGATCAAGCTCAAAAATGTTTGCAGCATCTCTCGTTTTTCCTAGTAGACGAACCACAGGGTAGTTTTTGGTTTGGGGTTTTGTTTTGTTTTGTTTTGTTTTTGTTTTTTGGTACCGAAGTCCTCTCTAGCAATTAGGAAAAACTTGGAATTCATCAGTAGCTCTTTAAACACAATTCTTTATAATAATCATATTTCTGATAATACTTACATAAATCCTGAAATGTTTTGTAAACAGTACATGATTAGATGTCTGTGGGACTCTAGGCATCAGCTGGAACCACGCTGTACGCTAGTGCCCGTCTTGAATTTACACCATTGACATTTTCATGTCTGGGGGAAAAGGACGCAGAATCTCTCTAAATGCACAGCACAGAGATTTTTTTTCACTGACTATTGGAGGGCTTCCAAGGGCTAGTGGTTTCAATAAAAACACCTTTTTTTTTCTTTTTTTTTTTTTGCCATTAGTTTATTTGTATCTTATATTGCAGACAGAGTCCACCAACGGGGAGAATCCAAGCATCAAGAAATCCCTCTTTCCTCTTTTTAATTCAAAGAATCATTTAAAGCATAGTTCTTCTTTGAAAAAGCTTCCTGTAGTCACTCCACCCATGGTACCCATTTTTACGTATAGTAGCCCTGAAAAACTGCTCCAGTAAACTTGTTTTACTGATGACAACAGCATGTCTTATTTTCATGGGGTCATATTCTCTTTATGCTAGTTAAGTACCTGAGCCAGTTCCATAAATTCTTTGTCATTCTGGATTTTCCAAATCAGTTAAGGTAGTTGAAGCCGAAAGTCTATTAAACTAGTGAATGGCTAGTTTCAATGGTCTGATTAACCAATTGCTGGCAGACAGCATTCAGAAAAGCCCTTATTGCCTGTAAAGAATTCAATGAACATGTACGATTAACAAACATCTTTGCGTTTGGCTTGCAGAGTTTGTTAACTCTTGGTTGGCAGTTTGTTTCTTTGAAACCAAGTTGAATTGACCAAATTCAGTGAGCTCTCAGGCTCCATGAACAAACAGCTTCTATTAGTTGGTAACTTGCTCTTTCTCTTCCTGGCTCTTGGCTTTTGCTGATCACTCAGTGCAAAGCCAGGGCTTTTGCTTGGCATTTGGCCTTGCTCGCCTATGTTCACCACAGTTGGTGAACAGACCAATTGCTTTCATCTGGGATTTGTGGCACAAATTCCCAGCCTTTTCCTAGTGCATTACACTAGATCCAGATTTACTGGGCAGTGGTTTTGGGAATATGATTCAAACCATCCTTTGCCACTTTGCTATCCTTGAAAGCCTAGTAGATTGCTCGAGCACCACCCAATATGGTGTTTGGATCATTTTCCCAGCAGGAAAAAAAAAATGTATTTTATTGAACTGGTTCATAACCTAACTGCAATATGGAATGAGGATACGACGGCAATTCCTGGTACAACCCAATTTAACTGCTCTCTTTTACAGCGACTAAAACTAACAGCATGGGAATGCTTTATGGGTTGAGGTTTTAACAAAGCTGCATGATATCTGCCAATTTTTCCTAATGCAGGGAAAATTATTAAGAGGGCAGCAAAATTAACCAGCATCACTTGCATTGTGAACAAGTGGGAGAGTTTGGGTTCCCTTTTTATTGGACCCTTTTTATAGGGCGGGAAGGTGGTTGAGTTTTGGTTTGGTTTGATTTGCTTTTTGATTTGGTTCTCCTCTTGGGTGTGGTTGCGCATCTTAACTAGGCCTATTGGTGTGCTTATTGAATCCTTGTCCGTATTTTGCTCTAGGTGCCCAACTCCGATGGCCCTGATCTTCTAACATTACAGAAAGCCATTCATTCCGCTGGCACTCCAAGCAGCAGACCAAAGGAGTGGCGCCCTGAGAAGATCTCAGATCTGCAGCCCCAAGTGAGTGGAACCGGGATGGCTCAAAGACTCTCCATTCTGCAGGAGTTGTCTGTCCTGAGGGGAGGGCAGGGGGAGAAAACTGAGCCTCTTGATGTTACAGTTGTACAAGGCTGTGGCAGTGGCCAGTGCATCACGGCAGTCAGGATGAATCTTGCTTCAGTGGCCCATGTTCTACTAGGAAAAAAGTGAGCTTCCCCACACTCTCACCTAGCTGGGAGATAGGAGGTGAAGCAACAAAGAAGACATAGTCCCAGCCCACGATATTCAATGGTCCAGGAGAGAGAGAAGATCTATAAAGAACCACATTCATGGGGCCAGCAGGTGGCATCGTGGTTAAGGTGCTAGACTCCCACATGACTGACCGCGGTTCAAGTCCCAGACCCAGCAGTTTGAAACTCACCCCAGGTGTGTGTGCGTGTATGCGTGCCCAACACCCTGAAAGGAGAATGGAGAAGAACAGATTGTGATGTAGCCATCCGCCCAGGGGGATGATTTCTCACTCTCTTTCTCTCTGTCACTCTGGCGAGCGCACACACCCTATAGCGAAAATCTCAAAAGGTGAGGTATGCATAAAGCATAGGGGGAGGATAGCAGAGATGTTGGGAGGCTCTAGGTGTCATGGAAAGGGGTAGCATAAATTGGGCCTTGAAAGACAGATGTGATCAAGTTTCTTGAAAGACTGTTTCAACTTTTGAAGTCCATACTAGTTTTGACAGAAAACAGGCAAATGGTTGCATTGGGAACTACATGTTAGACAGGATTCTGTAGTCACGTTTATCAGCTAAAATGGGAGAATCAGCAGAAATCGAGTCAGTACCTTTATCAGGGAACTGAGGCTTATCTCCTTTAAACAAATATTTTGATCAAAAATGATTTAGTAGTCTTGGGACCAGCAGTTAGTGTAATGGCTATGTCGCTGGAATCCCATGTAGTTGACCGCGGTTCGAGTCCCAGACCTGGTGGCTTAAACTCAGGCCAGGCACGTGTGTGTGCGTGCCCAAGATCCTGAGAGGAGAACGGAGGAGAAGGGATTGCGGTGTGGCCATCCCCCCTGAGGGGTGATTTCTCATTTTCTTGTCTCTCTGTCTGTCTGGCGAGCGCCCACACCATATAGCAAAAACCTCTCCAAAAATAAATAAATAAATAAATAAATACAATTTAAAAAAACCGATTTAATAGTCTTAACTTTTCAGTATCCTGTAATGAGCATAATAATATAATCTACCTTGGCTTGGTTTCTGGTTATGGTTAGGATTTTATAAACCCACTATCCCTCTGCACTGTAGTTTCTCATAAGCTTCATGAGCTTCTGAGGCTGTCGAGTTTCTTGTGTCTGGAATTAACCACAGAGTTTTGTGACTTGGGGGACGTGGGGCTGACTTGTTTTAAGTTTTCCCTTTATTCTCTTTAACTGTAAGCTGTTCCTTAGAGCTGCTGACAGGGACTCCCCAGCTGCCATTCTATTTGCCTGGCCTTTTCTGTTTTCTGCTTCTCACATAAAATGGGCTGGGGGGATGGAGGGGCACAGAGAACCAAACAGCCACATTTATTGGATCTGTACCCAAACCAAGAACACAAAGCTCTGCATGAGGGCCTAATGTTCTATTTCCAATCAAAAACAAAAACAAAAATGAGGCTTTAGAACCTTCTTTGTGAAACCATTTCTTTTGCCAAGAAGCTCTTTTCAAATGACTTTCTATCTCCAGCCGAATCCAGATTGCTTGGCAGTTACACATGGTCAGGGCTGCAAACATCATCAAGAGTAGGCTGGCCTCATGGTGTGGTGGTTAAGTGCTGGCATAGGGAGCCAGATCCCACATGGTGGACCACAGTTCAATTCCCAGTCCTTGAGACTTGAAAAACATGGCAGGCGCCTATGGATGTGTGCCCACAATCCTGACGGAACAAAGAAATGGAGGAAAAAGAATTGTGGAGTGACCATGCCCCATTGAGGGGTCCTTCTCTCTCTTTGTCTCTCTGTCTTACAAGTACATGCAACTTCTGCCAATTAAGAAAGAAATCACTAGGGCCAGCAGATGGTGTGGGGTTAAGGTGCTGAATTCCAATATGGCTGACCACAGCTCAAGTCTCATACCTGGCAGCTTAAAATCACACTGGGTGCATGTATGTGCATGCCCAGAATCCCCAGAGGAGAATGGAGGAGAAGGGAGGACTGTGTAGCCACCCCCCAGGAGTGATTTCTCACTTTCCCTTTCTCCATCTCTCTCCAGTAAACACACAATGCACTATGGCAAAAACCTTAAAAAAAAATCACCAGGAGTCTCACTGTGTTATCACACCGAATTAATAAAATACAATAGAACCAAGAAGACAGTTCCGAGCCTCGTGGTGTGCCATACCGTGCTGCGTGCCGAGGGGATCACTGAGCCCTCTTAGCAAGACTGAAATGGCCATGGAGGCTACTCCCTAGGAGCAGCTTCAGCCTGGGTCAATTCTCAGACCATTTACTTGGGTCTCAGTGCCCTGTTCTTGCGAATCTAGTGGTGTTCCTAGAGATCTTCCACATTGTATTTAAACTGTGCTGGGCCCTTAAAAAGCAGGTCCCTTGTACCATGACACCCAAGTAGAGGCACTCTGAGGATTGGCAGTCGGAGATGCCCTGAGACTGGGGTTGTGGCACAGCAGCAGTGATTGGCTGAGTTTCCGAGTGCTTTCCAGGCCTCTTCTGATAAGACCCTCACGTGCTCTAAGGTAGAGGCAGAGGAAGAGGTAGAGGAGGGTGAGTGAGGAGATGGAGGCTCAGTGGTTACCTGTGAGTAGTTGGCCAGTGAGGGGCAGATTGCTCCCAGGACCCTGTCCTCTGACTTAAAGCCAATCTTCCGCCATGACGCAGCACCCTGTAGAGCCTTTGGCCAGCAGCCACATTGTGTGGGCACAGGCTGGTAGGAGCTGCTGCGAGCCTGTTGGCAGTTGAAGGTCTCCTATGAGTGGGTTGTCTTTCAGATCCTGTAAGGGTTATACTTGTTTCTTTGTGCACCTCCCCCTATTTTTTTTAATACCAGAGGATGTATGTGGTTGGGGAGAGTGTGTGTGCACGAGCACACCCCAAAGGGAACTGGTCATAGTTCCATCTCCTTTCTCTAGTTCTTCATCCCATCAGGATCCTGGGCACATGTGCATGCACCCAGCATGTTTTCAGATCAATGGCAACTTGAACCCTGATAGGCTCTGTGATATCTGGCTCCTTCTGCGTACTACCTAACCACTGCACTACAAGGCATGCCCTGCATTTTTTTTTCTTTTTTGGAGAGGTTTTCGCTATAGGGCGTGTGTGCTTGCCAGACAGACAGCGAGAGACATAGAGACAGAAAGTGAGAAATCACCCCCCGGGGGGGATGGCCACGCCGCAATCCCTTCTCCATTCTCCTCTCGGGATCTTGGGCATGCATGCACACGCGCCCGGCGTGAGTTCTAAGCCACCGGGTCTGGGATGCGAACTGCGGTCGACTACGTGGGAGTCCAGCGACATAGCCATTACGCTAACTGCTGGTTCCCTGCCCTGCATTTTTATTGCTCAAGCCATACCCTCTCCTCTCAAAGACATAAATACAAAAAAGTAAAATTGCAGGGGTCGGGGACAGCAGGTGGCATAGTGGTTAAGGTGTTGGATTCCCACATGGCTGATTGCAGTTCGAGTCCCAGACCCAGTGGTTTGGAAAATCTCAACAAATAAGTAGATAAATAGATAGATAGATAGATAGATAGATAGATAGATAGATAGATAGATAGATAGATAGATAATTTTTAAAAATTGCCTCAAGGGAACATTCAAATTTTGTAATATGGGGCCAGCAGGTGGTATGGTGCTGGACTCCCACATGGCCAACCACAGTTCAAGTCCCAGACCTGGTGGCTTGCTTTCTCACTTTCAGTCTCACTCTTGTTCTATCCTTCTCTGGTCAAATTATAAATAAATAAATAAATAAAGTTAAAATAAAATAAAATAATTTTTATAAAACTATTCTGTAATATCAAAGGAAAGAAATTTGGGACTATAAGGACAAAGGGGGCTCCACAGTTTGTAGCTGAGTGAATTGCTACCTAACTAAAGCACATTTTTTCGGTTTCTCTTGCAGCTAGATATGGTCACGTGCTTAAGTTCTAGCCAGTGACCTATAAGTGGAAGCATGATCTGGAGCCTTGGGGAAGTCTTCTCAAAAGGGAGGGGGCAAATCCCTTCTTTTGTTCTTGGTCCTTGCTGCTGGTAGAAGCATGAGACCCCACAGTAAGGCCAGGATGCAGCCAGATCGAAGGAGCCTGGCCTAGGGTCAGATGCCGCACCAGCATTAGATGCCTCATCTAGGTTTCTGGGCTTTTCTACTTAACGACAATAACTCCAGTCTTGTTGGAAGAAAACCTAAAGAATAGAGATTTGGACTGTCTCCCACCCCCACCACATGTGTGGCCTCCCTGGCTCTGTCTAGCCGGCTCGGATCTGAGCTCCATCTTCTCCCTGCTTTCTGGTCTGCTCTGAATTAAAGCCTGCATGCATTATACTTTCTTTCAGAGCCAGCCGTTAAAATCACTGCGCAAGCTGTTACATCTCTCTTCAGCCTCGAATCACCCGGCCTCCTCAGATCCCCGCTCCAGCCTTTAACAGCTCAACAAGCCAAAAATTCCTTCTCAGAAATTCGGATTCACCCCCTGAGCCAGGCCTCTGGTGGAAGCAGCAACATCCGGCAGGAGCCCACATCAAAGGGCAGGCCAGCCCTCCAGCTGCCAGGTCAGATGGATCCTGGTTGGCACGTGTCCTCTGTGACCAGGAGTGCCACAGAGGGGCCTTCCTACTCTGAACAGCTGGGTGCCAAGAGTGGGCCCAACGGGCACCCTTATAACAGAACCAATCGCTCAAGAATGCCAAATCTGAACGATTTAAAAGAGACAGCCTTGTAATTTGTGCTGGGGTAGGGGGCGGAGGGTAAGCCAGCGGGGAGGGG